GAATTAGCAATATGCGCATGCTCACTTTCAATTTAGTAGCCTTGCCTGGACGAAAATATCCTTGCCTAAAATAAAACGAGCAAGGGTAAAACGGATGTGTGTAAACTGCACATTTTACCCTTGCCTTGCCGAAAATGAAAATTACCCTTGCCAATTTTCATCCTTGCCTTGCCGATTTTTTCTGTAGTGTAAATGGGGTATTAGTCACCAGTGCCAAATTGCTGGGCATGACCATTAGCCACGATTTAAAGTGGAACATGCACTCCTCTGAACTAATTAGAAAATGTTCCTCTCGTCTCTATTTTTTACGTCAACTCAAGAGATCCGGAGTGGCACCAAGTAAACTGGTGCAATTCTATGTGACATGTATTAGGCCCGTCCTGGAATACGCAAGTCCTGTATTCCATCGTTCTCTACCAAACTACATCAGTGAAGATTTGGAACGGATCCAAAGAAGGGCTTTCAGAATCATCTATCCTGACCTGTCATATAGTGTAGCACTAGAAACAGTTGGCCTACCGAAACTTCATGAGAGGAGAGAAAAGATTTCAATCAATCTGTTCGACGAGATCGTCTGTAACCTCACCCATAGTCTCCATAGCCTCCTCCCCCAAAGGAAGACTTGTAAATATGCTCTGAGACGCAAAAAAGATTTCACTCTCCCCCGATGTAAAACCGAGCGTTTGAAGAATTTGTCCTGCCCTTCGAGTATACTCTCACAGAGGGAAGTGGTGTGGTGCGTTTCGATCCGCACATTAATGAGACGGGTCTATATAAACCCCGTTTTTTCCAGGTTTGGCACTCCAAATCTTCTCCTCCCGGCAAAGCCCTGTCCGTTTGGGTAGCGTTTTTTTCCGTGAGAAGTCTTGTGTTGTTCGTCAACTGTTCTTTTCAGAAACTCCGAGTGGCTGTCCAGGCCAAACATTGTGATATCCGACATGGCCAGTACGCTCAAAGACAACTGGACTAACATCATGGCCTATCGCGGAACGGTGTTCACGGAAGACTTTGTGGACGACCTCTGCCGGTTCGTGGATCCCATTACCGACACCCTGAGACGCGTCGACAATAAAGATAAACTCGACACAGATCCCCCCGATGCAAATGATGTGCTCCAGATCCTGAAAGCAATCAATTTCGATCCTTGGGTGGAGGACCTTTTCACAGACGCGTTCAATGCCGTTGGCCCCGTGCTGATGATGTCAATTCACGTGTTGGTGATTAACTGTCTAATGCATAACCCCGACGCGTTCGCAGAGCGCACCGTCCGAGCTCCAACGGCCGAAAAGTTCAAGGTTGATCCCACATTTAAGAACATGATGAAATATCTCATCGACCAGATCTTGATGAGGCGGCGCACGGTCAAACGAACAACCAACAATTGGGATTCTGCGGCATACTTGCAAGAGGAGGAGGAGGACACCCAGCAGCAGCAGCCCAGCAGATCGCGAAGAACCCTCACGCATCCAAATCCAACAAGTCGTGAATCATCTGCTGGACCATCAACACCAAGAAGACATGTGCCTGTGCCCTCCACCTCAACAGAGAGAGGTACCACTTCAAGGAGACGTCGAATGTCCCTTGAAGTCAGTGGCATCACTGCGCTACCCCAGACAGACGACGAAGACGACCAACCGCTGGCGAGACCCAGGCAGAAAACAAGATCTCTGCCCAGCCCTGTAGAGGAGGAAGACGAGTGGTCGCAAGACAATCAAATGTCAAACAGGACAGCCAAGAAAAACAAAAGGCCACTCAATGGCCGCTCCCTAGCCAAGAACAGGAGACAGGTTCTAAACGTCGAGAACGACGAAGATGAAGAGGTGGAGATTTTCATCAAGCAGGCGACACCGCCAAAGAAAAAGAACAAGAAGAAACGTAGGCGATCGCCATCACCTCAGCCGCCAGCAGTCACAACGTCCAGCAAGACAACTAATGACAACGAGGAAGTACTGGAGCCTGAGGACGCAGAGACCACATCGAAGAAGAAACACAAAAAACATAAGAAGAACAAAGAGAAGCCCCACCAAGCACTTGCAAAGCTGATTTCCGACCAGGACGAGGTCCTCCGGTAGTTGGCCAAGGGAAATCGAAAGTAGTGTGCACATTTTCACCATTGCGCTTTCCTTGTTAGGCGTATGCAGCCGTTTTTTTCCAGGTTCGGCACTCCCAATCTTCTCCTCCCGGCGAAGCCCTGTCCGTTTGGGTAGCGTTTTTTTCCGTATGAAGTCTTGTGTTGTTCATCAACTCTTCTTTTCAGAACAAACTCTTCAGCGAGTCTTACAACTGTTCTTCTTAGAACAAGATCGTCCGTCATTTGTACAACTGTTCTTTTCAGAACAACTTTCTTGGTCTTCGTTTTGCCAAGGATATCCTGTCCCGTTTTTCTGCGTTGGTTGCAGTTCCACTTTCAAGGTAACATTCTGTTCTTTCCTGATTTCACCGAGATTGCTTTTCAATTGCCATTAACTTTGACTCGCATTTTCGCGCCTTTTTTCAAACACTAACGATTTTTTTTCTCCATTCGCAGATTCTCTGTTTCCTTCAGCTAACAGAACATCCAGTGACAATCTATACTCTCACAGACGGAAGTGGTGTGGTACAGGGCAGGCCACAGAGCACACTCTACACTGCGAGAAAAGTTTTATTTTTAGCCATGTCTATAAGATGTAGATAATTTTTCTTATTTTCTCTTTGTTATCATCAGTATTTGTAAATATCCTGTAATTCAGCCTACGGCTGCAATGGTGTTAATAATAAAGTATCTAAGTATCTATCTGCACCAGCGAGTAGTGTATAATACCATATCGTTGACTGTTTTTTAAGAAAAAATCCATTTAAAGAACAAGGAAATTTCAGAGGGATGTAGTAACGTCTAAATCTTACATGACATTACTTATGCAATGTTAAACAAATTTCACATAGGCTATGGTTTGTCTAAAAGAGTGATTTTACTTGAACCGTGAAATAGGTAATAGAATGTGGATACGCACTATTATGCACTATGATGTTTATCTCTCGCTAGTTTGCACTATTTGTTAGTATCTGTTTCACGGTTCAAATGGAATCACTCACATGGATAGTAAATTCTTGTTACTTAACTATCTTGACAATATCACTCAGTTGTCGTTTTGATAGTTTCTTTTTTACTGTTTGGAGGGAAAACGATGTTGGAAATGAAAAACTACGACACCATGAATTCCTGGAAACGGGTAGAGATCATCTGGAACACCCTTTAGGATATGGCAGTCTTTTTGTTTATGGATATGATGAGACTTGTGCTGTTCTTTAAAGTCACCGAGTTCGTTTTGGAGGAGAAGCAAGTAGACATGAAGAAAGCAATGCCTAAAATAAAGAACCATAACAGCACCGCGTCTGTTACATCTAGTATTCCTTGAAATTCCATATCCCACAAAACATCACATTGTAAATTGATAATTAAGTTACATTAACCTTACTTAAGTTATCAGATGTGAATTCTATATGCCGTGCCAGCTGATTCACAGATTGTTATAACTAACATATTAATCAGCGTTGGAATCAATTGAGTTCGAGATTCATTTTAATTGGGTTTGGCCTATGCCAAGTTCAGCGTCCAAACCAGGTCGAAACTGGTCTCGATGAGCATCAGCCTTAAAAAGAGAAATCCAAAAATTCCCACACATTTTACACAGCTGGCTCCAGAGTGCCTCTGTGTGCTTCAAGAAACAATTGCAAGAAGTTAGTTTTAAATAAGTAGTAATTATCTTTACTAGCTGGACGTTTGTTATATGTGAGAGGGCCAGCCATTTTGAGAACGCTTACAAGATCTTAGAAGTCTAACAAAGCGAACCCCCTATTCATCAGTGTTGCTTGTTAGAAATGACCCTCAATAAATTTTACATATTGTGAAAGTGACTCCCTCCAGATTGCTAGGGAAACTAGAAATATCGTTACTACAAATGTGCCGAAATTGAACAAATACTTTATCTTCCGCAGGTATTTGTTATCTAGTCTATTAAAAACAAAAACAGCATTTTAAAGCGAAGGTCTTTCTAATGCGGGGTGATTACTGCCGAAATGAGATGCTGTATTATGCTGTTCTATAATGATCTTTTAGACTCCCCAACTGGTGTTATGTCCTCTCTATTTGGCATTATAAATTTCATTTGTCCATTCTGTATTTTGTTATGTATTTACACATTCTATTATGTACTTCCACTTGACAATATTGGATATTGTATTCTGCTATTAACATGACGTTTTAGACTTCTGAGGTGATATTTTCTTCTTTCTATTTGGCAGTGTAAAGTTCTGTATCCTATCGCGCAATTCTACATTCTTCTATGCACTAAAATATGTTATCATCCAAGATTGGGTAACTTTTGGAATTTTTTATTCTGTTTTGCGTTCCCATATTACGATCTTGTTCATTTTGTGAAGTTGTATTATGCGTATGTCATATCCTGCATGGCACTCAGTGAACAAAAATTAGACGGCTGAGCAGGGGAATACGTATTGTTCTCAGCCATGCTGCCTTTTCCTGCCATCCGCTGTCAAAAATGGCGGACAATGTCGCCTGTCATGTTGCAGCCAGAAACCATCTTCGCAATGTGTTGTTCGATATTTTGAGACAGTTAAAGTTGGGAAATGGTGACTTGGACACCCTTGATGACGTGCAATACTGACTAGATTGTCTGTATAGAATTATACTCAGGTGTTTTGATGCTGAAACTGTTGGAAAGGTGTTTACAGGTAATCCTGGCAGACCTAGGTATAATATTTCTGAAGATCAACATGAATTCTTGGTTCATAAGTGGTTTAGCACCACCAAAATAGCCAGTGCAAAAATTAGGACTCTTGATTTAAGAAGTGACCTTTCCTTACTCGCTAGATAAAGAGGGATATCACCTTGAAATAAAGTTTAGAATACGTAAAGTAAGAGTTTCAAGACTTGTGTCAAGGTATGTGATCTTATTATAAACAGATCATAATCTCATTCACCTTAGAAAAAGTGTCAGGCTATGTAAATTGCACTTAAAGGTACATTCCTCGATGTGTACCTTAGAGCAATGGTTGTTCCCTTAGAAAAAGAACATAACAAATGCCCAGGGGGGTACTTAAGGAATTTCTTGGTGGGGATGTGCCGCTTGGACCCTGGAACCCTTAACCTATACCAGGGCTAGTTCAGCTGAATTTTGCCACCCTCTACTAGAGTAAACTCCCCAAGTCCCCCCTATCCTAGAGTAGCTGTTTTCCAAAAACTACTCAGGTCACTAGCACAGTCTAGCCAAAACAAAACCTTATACCACAATCCTTAGTCTAGATAAAATCTTCAACTAACTGATCAGTTTCCTGGAAAATGATGCCCTATTCTAGACCCAAATGCTCTGATTTATATACCCTATCCTAGACTAAACTGTTTGAAAACATATCCATTACAGCGGCACATACCCATATAGCCCACATATGGCAGAACCCCCCGGGAACAAATGAAAGGCCCTCAGAAAAGGGGTGATAATGTATTCATAACCTCAAACAAAGTGATCACTATTACGACTGTTATTAAATGTAGTAACTAATTCCTTTAATATCAGTTAAATCAAATTTTCCAAAGTCTAATTTTTAGACTAACCTCTTGTTTTCAAATTTAAATCTTTGATAACAGAGTCATGTCAACTCACATAACACAAGCTAACAATGACATTTAAGTTAAGTCTTGCTTGAGAAATTTAAAACCGTAAATTGATAACAAAGTCATTCCAACTCAGATAACAACCTCACAGTTAAAATTAATCGCATAGCATGTCACATGCTACAAATCACGGCTTTTCATTGGTCGTCTGGAGTCAAAGAAAGTATGTCAATGATGAAGGCGTTTTCGGGCAGTTGGTAAGTCATTAGGGAACTCAAGCACCAGATGTTTTCTAGGGGGGCGACGGCAACCGGAAGTCAAATTTATTTCTGGTCCATGTTTCCCACCGACGTGGTCAGCCGTCGCGACTCTGCGCCGACTTTGTTTTGCTTATTTTGACGTCGCCTGTAAAACATGAGTTTCGCCTCTATGATTTTCGTGCTTTTATATGATTTATCTCCCGAATTTTTTTCCTATTGATACTTGAGCTGTTATTTTATAGTTGAGGAACTTGCATGAACGGTTGTCATGTATTTATTGTCATTGTTTAAACAATTTAGACTCTGCCGTGAAGATGGCTACCAGTAAACAACCTGCAATGGAATGGACAGATGAGCATGACATTCTTTTGCGTGAAATGATTGCTAGTGAATTGTTCCAGTTCAAGAAAGACAGTCCAGACCGTGGTAAATTGTTATTTGCTGCGGTTCTAAGAATAGCAGCAAATTATTGTTTTCACGGTTCCAGCTTATTGACAGCTGTCACGGATACTCATGTATAAAGGGGCGGGATTTTACTGAGGTGATCATTCTAAGCTGACATCGCTGCCTGAGTTTCGTTTGTCAATGCTTTTTTCGCTTTTCTTGATTTTTATCGCCGTAATCTTTTTGGATTCGAAGCTCAGCAGTCACATTTCTCTTCGGTGCTTTACACCGAACATGGATCCTACAATCCAAGCGGAACTGGAACGGCAACAATCAACAATGCTGGAAAAACTATCGTCCATCATGGACAACAAGTTGGAATCTATGAAGAGACAGCTTGAGGAGTCTTCAAACACACAAATGAGCGAACTAAAGAAAATACGCCTCACTGAACCTCGCATTTTTAAGAAGAAAGGACACGAACAACAGTATAAGCATAACGAACAAGTGAAGTCTGCGGTGAACGAGGCCAAGGACGCCGTTGTGGCGGGAAAGAACGAGGCATGCATTGCCAAGCTTAACGAAGGTATTGAACTTATCGATCAGCGCCAAAAGCTAATTCTCATAGCAGACAAATCTGACTACGGCTGGAAAACTGTCGGGGAATACCTTGATGACGAGCTCGCGGACGATGATCAGGACGCCAAGAAAATGAAGAAAGCAGAAAAAGAAGCTCAACGGAAAATAGCCGAATCTCGCGCCGCCAAAGCCACGAAGGCTCGCCCCTGGTTCAGGAATCCTAGATCACCGGGAAACACAATTGCAAACTCATCGCCGTCATCCAGCCCTTTCTCTCTATCCGCAGGAAACTATTCTCCCCGTTTTTCTTCTTCCACGGGAGGTCCAAGAGGCATAGGCTCATTTCCATTTTCAAGTGGGACGGCTCCAAAACGGGGCACATGCTTTAGTTGCGGTAAACCAGGTCATTGGCGGAATGAATGTCCTCTGTTGGCGGTTGCCGGAGTACAAGAAGGAAAGAAGTTAAGTGCTAATTTTTATGATCTATATGATGTAGAACCCGTGTCAGGGAATTCCGAATTTTCAGAGTTTTTCGATGATCCCATAGATTCATGTATTTTTACAACACCCGCGAAGGGAGATTTTTCCGAGCTGGAATGTGGAAAAGAAAGTGTTCGCGGGAGGTTAAAATCTCATTTTTCAGCATGGGAGGAAATAGGGTCCCCTAGCTCGGTACTGAGTGTTATTACAGAGGGTTACAAATTACCACTGCTTACTATTCCTGAGTCATGCATTTTGTCGAATAACAAATCCGCCATAGATAATGCTTGTTTTGTCACCAAGGCTCTAGAGGATCTTATAGCTGCCAATTGTATTTCAATTGTCCACAGTCCACCATGGGTAGTGAACCCTTTAACTGTGTCCGTGCGGGCCGAGGGGAAGAAACGCCTTGTGCTCGACTTAAGACACGTAAACCCTCATCTTTTCAAGTACAAATTCAAATGCGAAGACATCAGTACTGCTCAACAACTGTTAGGGGAAGGATATTACTTGTATACATTCGACATCAAAAGTGCTTATCATCATGTTGAAATTTTTGACAGCCATAGGACCTACCTTGGGTTCCAATGGCCATATCAGGGCAAACCAACTTATTTTGTTTTTAACGTACTACCATTCGGTATGTCTACCGCACCTTACATATTCACCAAGGTGTTGAAACCTGTAATTAATTATTGGAGAAGTGCAGGCAGGAGAATTTGCATGTTTTTGGATGACGGCCTAGGTGGCAATTCTTGTAAGGAGTCTGCCTCCACGGATGCCATAGCAGTAAGAGCAGATCTCGCCAAATTAGGCTTCCTTCTTAGTGTAGACAAGTGTGTTTGGAACCCATCCCTTATTCAGACTTGGTTAGGTTATATTCTTAATATGTCTGAAAATCGCTTGTATGTAACCGACACCAGGGTGTCCAATCTCAGGGAATCCATTTCATCTGTTCTTGCAAACCCCCAGAAGGTTACGGCCAGACGCTTAGCTGAAGTTACGGGTCGCATAATATCTATGCATAAAGCAATTGGTTCCGCGGTGTATTTGTACACTAGGCAAATGTACCTTACCATAGAAACTAGGGACTCTTGGGATTCTTTCATTTCCTGCTCCCCAAGGGTGATAAATGAGCTTCAGTTTTGGCACAATAATGTGAGTCAGCTGAATGGTAGAGACCTTTTTGACAAAACCCAAGTCTTTGATTCTGTTGTTTATTCAGACGCTTCCCAACTTGGGTATGGAGGTTATGTCATTTCCGACAAGCAAAATTTAGTATGCCAGGGACAGTGGTCCCTTGATGAAAAAAGAAAGAGCTCCACCTGGCGAGAGCTCAGAGCTGTTTATTATATGTTATCATCCGTTGGACACATCCTCACAGGACACAAAGTACAGTGGTACACTGACAATCAAAATGTGACGCACATAATCGACAGAGGCAGTACTAAACCTGACCTCCAAACATTGGCTGAAGAAATTGTAAATTTGTGCAACAATCACAGGGTTTCAGTCATCCCAGTCTGGGTCCCACGGGATAACAACCAACTTGCTGATTATCTCAGCAAACTCACCGATGTCGATGATTGGGGCATACATTCAGATATCTTTCAGTGGCTTAACACCTTGTGGGGTCCTTTCACAGTTGATAGGTTTGCCACATGGTACAACACTAAATGCATTAGGTTCAATTCCCGCTTCTGGAACCCAGGGTCTGAAGGCGTTGATGCCTTTATTCAAAATTGGCAGGGAGAAAACAATTGGGTGGTACCCCCTCCGAGCCAAATAATCAGGGCATGGCGTCACTTTGAGTTGTGCAAAGCTAAGGGAGTGCTCATAATACCCCTTTGGAAAGGGGCTTCGTTCTGGCCCTGCATTTGCCCAGATGGCACCCATCTTTCTAAGTGCGTGATTGACTGGGTTGGAGTACCTGAATTCCATTTAGCTGCTACGACTAAGGGCAGGTCTTACAATTCTTTGTTTCACGGTGAAAAGCTGGAGTTTAAACTTATAGCATTGTATGTTAATTGGCAGTCTGTGCGCAAAGGCCACAGTGATAGGGGGTTTTGTTTGTCAGTGAAAGGTTTGTGTGAACACTGTACCAAAGGTTAAGCTAATATTGATATATATACATAGTATTTCCGCGGGTACTCGTACAGCAATAAGCCCACAGGTGGCTCTTCCTTGCTCACAGGTGGCCTTCTCTTGCCCACAGGTGGCATTTTCTTGCCCACAGGTGGCAATTAAAGAACATACAATTTTATGTTACCTCTCTTCATAGGAAAGGTACTACTTGTTTACGGGTGGCATTGAAGTTAGGAGTCCATGGATGACATCACACCAAGTTGAGAGATGATACATTATATACTAATATGCTTTAAGCTATTGGTAGCGCTATCTTAACATCATTGTAATACTGGTTAATTGCTTATAGTTTTACACAAATATGTAATGCTATATCACATCACACACAGTCTATTTTCTTTCTTACAGGTCTGAATATTTTCAGCCAAGGTCCATGGAAAGAAATTCAAGACCGTTTGAAATCCAGTCATGGAGAAGTTACTTCTGTTGAACTATTTAAAGGGTTGCAGCAAACAGCCCTTTCATCCAAAGCCTGTGGAACAGTAGTTAATTATACAAGTTCTTTAAATCGTTGGGTTAAGTTTGCTAATACTAACAAGTTAGTTGTGTTCCCTGTCTCCGTGGTTGATGCAGCTCTGTTTTTTAGCCACTTGGCCACCTCTCAGGTATCAGCCTCTGTGATTGAATCTAGTTATTGTGCTTTAAAATGGGCTCATGATTTTGCGGGGGTTCCCAATCCTATGAGTAGCACCTTTGTCAAAAATATGGTGGAAGGGGCCAAGCGTCAAAATGCCAAACCCACTTCGAAGAAATCTCCCATTTCAAAGGAGGCCCTCACAGCGTGTTGTATTAAACATGAGCATTCCGATGAATTGCCTATACGTAGGGACATTTCTATGGCCTTACTGTTATTTGCGGGGTTCTTCCGTTTCAGTGAACTAGCAAACCTTACTATCGGTGACATTAGCATAACCGACACTCATTTAACCATCAAAGTGTCCCATAGTAAGACTGATCAATATCGTAAGGGGAATGAAGTGGTGATCAGTAGATCCGGCAAGGTTACCTGTCCTGTGTCAAATCTAGAAAGGTACATGAAATTAACAGGCATCAGTACATATAAGGTTTCAGATTTTTTGTTCAAACCTATAGTCAAAGTTAGATCCAGATATAAAGTTATAGACAAAGTAAAACCTCTCAGTTATACCCGTGCAAGGGAATCCCTAGTTAAGCTGTTGCGCGAATTTGTGCCCAATACGGCCAACATAAGCCTGCACTCATTCAGATCAGGCGGAGCTACTACAGCAGCCAACGCACAAGTCTTAGACAGATGCTGGAAACGCCATGGTAGATGGCGTTCAGAGACCGCCAAGGACGGTTATGTAGAAGATTCTCTTGATAATCGCTTACTAGTTACCAAATCTCTAGGAATTTGATTTTAGTTACATTTTCACTCCCGTTCTTTGTATTTCTATCCAGTGCAGCAGTCAGTTTTCCTATTTAACACGGAATGATTTCATTGTTTTCACTGTTCACCGTTTCAACAATAGGGAATAGGGAAAACTTGTTATTTGCTGCGGTTCTAAGAATAGCAGCAAATTATTGTTTTCACGGTTCCAGCTTATTGACAGCTGTCACGGAGACTCATGTATAAAGGGGCGGGATTTTACTGAGGTGATCATTCTAAGCTGACATCGCTGCCTGAGTTTCGTTTGTCAATGCTTTTTTCTTTTTGTGTCATTTGAATTTATTTCCGTTGGTGGATGATGTACTCATAATTCTGTATTCTAGTTCAACCTCTCTCCCTCGAGGTTCATGTTAAGTGTCTGGCTCTGCTTTCGGGAGGGTTCAGGTTTCCTCCTTAGTGAAGGGGGTTTTTCCTGACGGGCAGCAGACACGATATCATCTTTATTATTGATCAAAGAACTTTACTTGGAACTTGTTACATTTTTTCTACTTCACTGCCTTTGCATTACCTAAGTGTTTGTGTTTGTATGAATAAACGGGGACTGATGTTCGCATTACGCTGGGCTTCTATCCAGTGCAGCAGTCAGTTTTCCTATTTAACATGGAATGATTTCATTGTTTTCACTGTTCACCGTTTCAACAATAGGGAATAGGGAAAACGTCTGGGAATCAATCCATGAGAGATTGAACAAACTGTATAATCCACAATTTATGATAAAAGAAAAAAGGGGCGTCAGAGACCGATGGAATCTGCTTCAGACCAAGTTTAATGCACTCAGTGAGAAGAGCTTTAAGCTAGTGGTATCGATTGTGAGTTGTCCAAAAAGGATGCACTTATAGAGGAGCTAGGTGAGAAGGAAGATAGCTTTTCCACTAAAGGAAAAGAAAAAGTCAGACGATAAAGAGGCAGCTGAAGAAAGCAGAAAGAAAGCCATGGAACGCATGGCCTCGAAAAAAAATCAAGTGAACCAGCTGGAGACAGCACTAAAAAGAGCCAGAGACGCGGAGGCGATGCTTTTGAATTCTTGAAAGAAAAAGCAGAAAATGAGTATTCTGTTTGCCGGCAGGAGCTGGAGCCGCAAAGATTGATTATTTATTCACTGCATTTCCTAAATGTGGACACTTTACTTAACTCTCCAGTTTGGAATCATATACTGTTCATTCTATCCCGTACATAAAAAAGTGGGCCCTTGTTAGACCCTGGACCATTTCATGATTCCATTTTCGCTGATACCACACAAATCAAGCAGATTCAGATTCAAGTGCCTTTCTAGTAAGTTTTAATTTAAATGATTATCTCTCCATTTTCATATATATATATATATGTGTGTAAATACGTGTAATAAATATTTAGTCAGTAAAAATAATTCTTACAATGCATCTCTATTTTCTATATCTGATACTAAAACTTTTTCAATTCAATTAAATAATCCTTTTAGAATAGACCACTTCCGAGTTCCAAAAACCGTCACTTTCAAAATGAGTCTAGGTGCACAACCTTTCTTGTGAAAATGAGTTTTATTTACATGAGAATGAAAAATGATTTCCCTACCAAAGGCTAAGCACCTACTCTCGTTTTTAAACAGTGGCCTAGGGGAGCTTGGAAATGGCCTATTGAGAAAATTTAACCTTTTTTCTCCTTGAAATGATTAAATTACCATAATAGTTATATAATAATTAATTAAATAACATTGTAATGGCATCTATTTTAAAATTAATATTGTGCATTTCCATTCCAAAATAACTCTAAGAAGTAGTTGAAAGTAAAATCATTAAATAATGTAATAAGGTCTTACTTAGTTAAGCCTGCATAAAATCACATTAGGATATCTAGTGATAATTTGTATCGAATAGCACATTTGCATGATGACGTCACGCAAGCACTGCATGCTGGTATTTGTAGTCAAACTCCCGGGACACTCCCGGGAGATTTAAAAACAATGGCGGCAAACAAGGCGTTCAAAGATGTTAAAAGGTCAAAGAACAAAACTTTACCAACAATTTTAACGGAAGACGACGTTCCTGGGGCATCTTTAAAGGGACGGAAACCTGAACGGTTAAAAAACGATGAGTTGAAACGTTGGTTGAGGTGCCGAGGGACGAGTGTTTCTGGCACTTGCATGCAACTACTTGAAAGTTAACTGTGACATTTGTGCATTGTTTTGGCATCCATGCTGGGTTATTTTTATTTTATTTGCCAATATTTAATTTTTAGGGTTAAAGATTATATTTCTAGTGGACTACACATGAAGGTAACTGATCCTGATGGGGGAATTCACTCCATTGGAAAAAAACAATTTGAAGGTACTGGCAATGAACGTGATGACAAGGTTGTTGAGTGGCCCAAAGAAGGCTGGACCTTAAGCCTAGGAAAAGCACCGAGTTTCAACACAGTTTTATATTTTCGTATCTGTCTGGAGGGAGAAACAGCGAGGAAAAAAGACGAGGGGCGTTTAAAAGCAAACAAGAAGGGTAGGCTTTGTTTAAGGCTTCCCATGTCTTGGATGTAAAAATTAACAGCTCTCATGATGATTTCTGCTTTTTTGATGCAAGAGTAAAGGCTTCTATGACCAGAAACAAGATGTATAGAACAAAAGTTAGACAAAACAAAACAGGTGAAGTTGTTTCTGCTCAATACACTTGTAAAGCTGGCGCTAATGGATATTGTAAACATGTTGGGGCCTTATTATATGCCATGCTTGACTTCTCTGAAAGTGGCCTTGAGCAGATTCCTCCAAACACTTCTTGCACAGAAAGGCCTCAGCAGTGGCATAAACCAACCCAACAAACCTCAAACATTCCAGTTTTTTTCAAAGATAAACTGATGATAAAGCATGATTGTGATGCTGACAAAAGAAAGAAGACTGAATAAAGGACTGACAGGAAAAACGAGAAAGAGGCATATTCATCATGTCCCTCCTTTGCTCTGCAGGTTACAAGAAAACAGATTAAGGACCTCTACAATGAATTAAAAAACTTATCTAAGGAGTCAAATGCAGTAATTCTCAATGTGTTGCAAGGCAATGATTGGCAGCCTGTTGCTGTGAAAACAACAGAAGATAAGTTTGCTAAACACACTATTCTTGTTGATCATGATTATTATCTACCTGGTAAACATGAAAGAAATGACACTCAGACAGAGGTAGAAGCTTCTAAATGTGAATTAGATCATCTTTTCAAGAAAGCCTCAGTACATTGTTTTGGGAAAAATCAGTGTGAGCCACTAGACATCAACTTTCTACCAGACTTAATCATTTCCCATTCTGTAGCAATTTCTAACTTACCTGAACAACAGACTGAAACTAGCATGATTGTAGAAACTGAAACTGATGAAGCTATGATTTCTGATTTTCAAAGCAATGGTAACTTTACCATACCCAATCCCACAGTGCTACCCAGATGACTTGGATTTAGCTGATGAGAACTTTATAGCATTTTGTAAAGAGTGCATGAAAACCATCAAAATAACTGAAGATGGTATCAACACTGTTGAGGAAAAAACAAGAGGGCAATCTAGCAACTCAGATTGGTTTCAATACAGATGTGGAAAACTAACTGCATCGAAATTTGGTGAAATCAGTAACAGAAGAGTAACTACACCGCCTGATAGGCTTGTGAGGGATGTGGTTCAGTACAACTGCACGCCAAATATACCATATCAGTGTCAAGTAGGGTTGCAAATGGAACCAGTCATCATAGGTAAATGCATTCAAAATCAAGAAAACAATGGTCATGAGGGCATCACTGTGAAAGATAAAGGCCTTGTTATTGGTAAGTATAATCCTGTGCTGGCTGCAGGTGTTGATGGTGAAGTCAGTGATCCAACAAATAAATATCATCCAATTGGACACCTTGAGGAAAAATATAAGTTATTCCCATCCAAGTTAAAGAAACGAGTGGATACAAAGCAAACTTCATTACCTAAAGTTCTTGCAAAGCACACCAAGAATTTCTGCTTGGAGATTACAGAATCAGGAATCAGACTCAAACAAAAACATTCATGCTATAAACAAGTTCAGGGGGGTATGGCAATAACTAGAAAGCCATGGTGTGATTTGGTTGTGTACACTTATTTCATGAATCATGAGGATATACACATTGAAAGAATTTTCTTTGATCCCACATTCTGGCAAGCACCAAGAAAAAGCTTCTTGACTTTTATCTCTAGGCTATGGTTCCTGAGCTACTAACTGTATGTGTGGAGAAGAGTCCCTATGTACCCAAACATCTTTTCCAATAACTGACTGAAAATAATCACCCCAGGAAATAGTGTCTATAGGTTTAAGAACTATTCAAAGAGTTGATTAGGTTCAATGCCATCGGTTTGTTAACTTGACATTACGTTTATTCACCCATCTAGTATTGCAAGAATGTTGTGAGTTGACAGGTGATTTTTTAAAAGTAGCAATTTTTAACAGTTCGTCACATCTTGTAAACAACTACCGAGCAGAATAACCAGCCTCTACAGTTAAGTAGGTGATGGTTATGATGGCAACTGGCCACTTCTGACAAACCTGTAATATTTTAAGTACCTTCACCTGTTGCATGAAAATTATTTATCTGGAAGATCTATATGTAAGAAAAACAAGTTATACCACGATGGTCTATGGGATGAGTACAAATTGTATCGTAATAAATTATCACTGTTAACTCGTTTAAGTAAAAGGAATTACTACAACTCCTTTTTCGAACTAAATCTTAATAATATGAAGGCAACCTGGGAAGGGATTAATAACCTAATATCTACCTCCAAGAAGAAAGTAAACCAAATTTCTATTATTAAAAAACCTGATGGTAGTCGTTCAACTGACCCTAGTGAAATCTCAAATGTGCTTAATAAGCATTTTGCTAGTGTTGGACATAACTTTGCTTCCAAACTACCACCTTCTAAGCACTCATTTAATGAATATCTCACTAACAACCGTTTGCCAAACTCTTTTAACTTTGAACCCATTATTCCCAATGATGTCAGTGCCCAAATTCAGGCCTTGCCCCTCTACAAGTCTTATGGCATGTTCTCTTGTCCTGTTAAAATCCTAAAAGGCTGCAAACACATTATTAGCCAGCCACTTGCTAACATTTACAATTTATCTGTCATCCAAGGTAAACATCCCAGCAAACTAAAACTTGCCAAGATTGTGCCAGTTTATAAAGATGATGATGAGTCCTGCGCAAGCAATTACAGGCCTATTTCTCTTTTGTCTATATTCAATAGAATATTTGAAAAACTAATGTATCAAAGACTCAGTAAATTTATCATTAAGCACAATATATTGATTAACTCCCAATATGGCTTTAGGAGTGGTCATAATACTCAACATGCAATTCTGGATATTGTTAATACAATTCAGAGTAATATGAATAGTGGTAAATTCACCTGTGGACTCTTTATAGATCTGAAAAAAGCCTTTGATACTGTTGATCACTATATTCTTCTTCAAAAACTTGATTTTTATGGCATCAGAGGTATTGTTAATGATTGGTTCCGATCTTACCTAACCTATAGGAAACAAACCACTTCAAATGGCTCTTATATTTCCAACAGTGAAACAACTTTGTATGGTGTTCCACAGGGCTCTGTGCTGGGCCCACTTTTATTCTTATTGTATGTGAATGACATTGCAAATTCTTCAAAGCATCTTTCGTTTTATTTATTTGCTGATGATACAAGCATTATTTATGCAAACAAGAACCTCCATAATCTTGAACAGATAGTTAATTCTGAACTAAGTAATGTCAGTGACTGGCTTTTAGCCAATAAGCTAACCCTTAATTTCAAAAAATCTAATTACGTGCTTTTCCGTCCTCGGCAGAAATGTTTAACATATAATCCCTCCATCAAAGCTTATGATCCAGCTATAAATGCATTGAGTACCTTAGAAAAGAAAGATTTTGTCAAATACCTTGGTGTTCTGATTGATTATGAACTTTCCTGGAAAAACCATATTAATCTAATCTGTTTAAAGATAAGTAGAACCGTGGGAATTCTAGCAAAGCTTAGACATAGTATTCCATTACGTCCCCTCTTAAATATCTATCAAGCCCTTATCAACCCCTATCTTTATTATGGCATCTGTGCTTGGGGCTCTGCACCTAAAACTTATTTAAATAAGATACTCTTAATTCAAAAACGAGCCCTACGCCTGATTTACTTTACGGATTATAAGCAACATGCTGTACCATTTTTCTTAAAATCAAAAGTCTTTCCCCTATCCTTTATTTACTTTGATTGTCTTTGTAGTATCATGTGGGACGTTGCTAACAATTCTGCACCTGAAAATATCAAGAGAGCCTTTACTAGGATTTCTGAGGTGCACTCATATCCTACCCGATCTTCTCTCAATGATGATTTCTATACCGAACACTCAAGGCTTGAAAAAATGCGTAGTTCTTTTCTAAGAGTTGGACCAAAAATTTGGAATTCTTTACCCTCAGATATGAGAAACTTACCAAAATCTACCTTTCGGAAAAAGATAAGGAATAAGCTCTTTGAAATTTTATCTAAATCTGATGACTATCTTGAAATCACTGAAATCATGCATCAACTTAAATTTAACTAGCTCAGGAACACAACTAAATTTATATTCTCTGTGTAAATCATAATGCAATTAAATTAGCTTAATACATACTATAGTTTTTATTTTGCGACAGCTGGTACTGTTTGTAAAATAGTTCTTTTTTTCTTTTCTTTCTTTAAATTTGTGTGTCTCTTCCCCCGCCTCGATTAGGCTCTCCTATACGCGGGTGGAAGCTATCGTGTAATTGTAAATTGAAAGTGAATGAATAAAGTTGAAGTTGAAAGTTGAAGTTGAAGATGTCCATTTGCATTAAGTTTCAATATTTCCTCTTCTACTACCGTGAAATTACAAATACCATATTTCCTTAATTAACCCTTTAAACCCTGGCATCAGTATGCATATTCTCCACACTGTTTTCATGCATTTCCTATGCTACCAATAAGACTTTTTTAAAGAAATGTCAAAATCTTTTCTATTTGGTGCTTATTTCCCTTTTTCGCACAACATGTCTACTTTATCAAACACTTATTGGGTAAATCCTGTACACCAATACTATGTACCTTGTATTTCTCACAAATTCAAGAACTTATTTAAAAAGATGACGATGTTGACAAAAGTTGGAAAGTTTGCTGTTTACTGGCTTATTTCAAGGGGCCACTGGTAGTATAATCAAGGCCCCTTGAAATTAGCTAGTAAACAGCAAACTTTCCAAATTTGTCAACATCTTCAGCCATAGAATTTGGCAATATCTGTTTAAGAATGTTAAAGTTTTTCACGCTTTCAACAGCCCGTTCCACGTGTATGCAAACTGATGCAATCTCCCTGGTTTCATCTTCCTCTTCAGGATTTAGCTGGTCTTTAATTCCCATGAAGGGTGGAATATTAACGTAAACTTTCTTTGGGGCTAATAGGTCTTAGATTTTAAAACCACGATCTGCCATTACTGCAACACTCTCTTCAAGAAGATGTAGAATGCCACAGTGCTCAACAATAACTTTGTCACTACAATGACCTCCATACAAATCTGACACAAAGGTTAAAGCACCATTAGGTGCTATTGCAACAAGGCCTTTGGCTGTATTGTGGGAGTTATATGAGGAGTAAGTTTCAGATTGTGCACAGAAACATGAGGGCTTTTCAATGAATAATTCAGTACAGTCAAGGATGACCCTTGTGAGTGGGTATTTCTGCCGAAAAACTTTGGGCATTGTTTCTTCAGCTGTTCTTCTTGTAGCCCAAACAGGAAGTTGAATTAACCTTGAAAAAAGTAAGTCGAGCCAGGTAGCAAAAATCCTTGATACCCCTGATACACTAATATTATAGTTATCAGCCAGTACTTTCTCTGGTATATTAACCCTCAATCTACACAATGTCAGAAAAAGCTTGTCATCAGGCTCTAAGAAGCGCTTTTGTCCCTTCTCTTCTATATCAGGTAATTGTACCTTAGCATAATCAGAGCCCCAGTAATTTAGACGATAACAAATACCATGGGAATTTAGGAAATTGAATAATGCTACAAACTGACCAAAGGTCAGGCCAGTGTAGAAGATCATATCCTTTTCTGATTCTTTAAAACGCTTTAAACCAAATTTAAGGATTGAGAAAATTCAACTTTGTACACATAATTTTGACAATGAGTGCCCTTGATGATCTGCAGTACCCAGTCCCCTCAGATTTTAAGGACTCCTTTCATCCATTATGCAGCGCAGCCCGACGAACCAACTTTGCTGATGGTCACATGGAAACGACCAATTCTTTGACTTGGATGGGGGCCTTGAATGGTGTGTTACAACCAAATTGCAATGCATGAACGGATCTCAGTGTGATTAACCTCCCAAGTCGGTATCACTGCTGTTGCTTTGATAGTGATGAGATAGTCCAGTTGCAGAGTACATACATCGTATCCATATTTGGATCTTACCACAGCCTTTCTCAACTCTACGTACAAGAAGTATTCGTCTCTGTGTGTAGGCAAGGAGCGCTTTGGCTCTGGTACTGAAAGCCGCCTTTATAAGCATGCAAGGGTGATGGCGTCATGGGTTGGCGATGAAGGCGAAATTTCGTTAGGAATTAGCAGGCCGGGCCGAGTGAACTATTTTTTAGAACATTCGTTATTGATAAGAATGGACATTGTTTTGTTTGTGTGCAGTGGTTTAAAGAGTATCCCAACAATTCGCTATTTAAGAACCCACTGTCTGTTTACTATGCTAAGGTATTTAAACTTCCCGGTCCTACAACATTCATCCCTGTTCAAAGAATTCAGTCCCGATTTGTCGCTATTAACAGGAAGGTATACCAACGTTGATATTGTAATCGTGTGTCCTCTTCTCCCGAGGACCTTAATTTAGAACTCCGATATAGTATGCTTGTTGTAACTTAAAATTTTTACATGTACCTACATGTCGAAAAACATTGTCGAAAATTTATTTATCATACACATTTTGCAGTTTGTTATAGAATGAATACTACAGATGTGTATTTCATGTACTGTTCATCGAAGTGTCACTGGCTTTAACATTGGGCTAAAGCTAGTGGAGGTTTCTTTGTTTTGCTGGGCAAATCTCAGCTTTGGGTATACGCTTCAAATAGTCTTAAAATTTCCCAAATAAAAATAGTGTATCTCTGTGAATGACCACTACCATGACCACGACTTAGTTTTCCATCCCGGCTTTTGTTTACTTCACCAAATGGTTCCTAAGTACGCTTGAGCGTGCCAAATCTTGTCGAAGTAAAAGACGACTGTCATTTAGACCTATGATTGGCTCCACAAAGAGAAATTAAAATGCCCCATCTTACTTCAGTGAAATCATTTATTTGTTCACAATGCTAAGAAATATACACTCCAAGAACGTCTAAACTAGCAGGATACTTAAAACACTTTGTATCTATTTACATTCCGTCTTTTGCCACTGGCCTGTTTTAGTCAGATAGACAGCCTTAAGACTGTCTAAGAAGTCACACCAGAACATCATTAAGAGCGTTTTAAAAATAGTGTTGTTGCCGAGAAATCCTTGGCAGCACATCACCTCCTTAAAATTAAAGCTACCAAATTTCCGTAGAAAATTGTCTGCAGAAACGTGATTGATATGGCCTTCTACATTTCAGCCAAAGGAAACGCTGCGGAAACGCTGTGGAAACGTGAAATGTCGACCTTATTTTGCTCTTACGCGTTTCCCATCAAAACCGCCGTCCAGAAATGCGATGGAAACTTGAACTATCAGGTTTCCGCAAGATTTCCGAAATACAGAAACGCCTTATTTCACCCTGTGTTGATTTTCATTCATTGGTGACAAGTGTTCAACATGATTTTCCTTTATTATAATAAGCAAGTGTCCATTACATCAGGAAATACTGTATGTATGCTTACTTCTATTGGTTATAAATAAATCCATTCAATGTATGTGGTTTATCTGAAGTAGTCTTTTAAGGAAGGAGGGTTCAGCCCAAAAAAATTCTGCGGTGCTGTTTCCATATAAACATGTTATTGCATTGTGAAGGAGTGCGCAGACTAGATACATTTTCCCAACACTGCTCATGCCGATTTTCAAATTTTTCTTAAAATATAAAAATTGGAAATCATTAATAATATTGCCAAACAGCCACCCAACAGTAACTCTGACAGAGCTCATCTCAGCATTGTATGCTTCCATCATTGGAGTTAAAATGCCATTACGATATGGTGCTTGCAGGTGAACTCGTAAAGGATATGCAGGGTCCCCAAACACACACATGGGCTCACCTGTTGGAGAAAATGCATTTTGCTTAAGCTTATGGAGGCAGTTGGAGTCCACCAGCATACTAGCATCATGCCTTGTACCAAATGTTTCTTTGTGAGACAGGTTGACTTAGTATTTAACAATAATAATAATGATAATAATAATAATAACAATATTAATACAAGATTAATATCAGAGACGGATTGGTAATGACTTAATTCAAAACTCTTGACTGACTGCAAAAGTTAGTGACTGCATCTGAGCTGCAAGAAATGTATTTGTAAAATCGTTATTGACACAGTGATTGCTATTTTTATTATTTATACTATTCTTAATATTATATAGTGCTTAATTCTTACTCCAAATATTTCTGTAAATTATGTACATATTTTTGACAATTGAATAATATTATCTTTACATAATAATATTGACTGTTCTAATAATAATGATGATATTTATAGAGGGAGCCCAACTCGCCAAGGCGGTTTTCAGTTGGGCCCTCGTGCATTAATTAACTAATTAATTAATTATTGCAATAAAAGTAAAATATGTTTGCAAGTAAAAAATTTAAAATCTTAAAATCGATTATCAAAAAAATATCAAGGTTTAAAATTAGCTGAGATCTTTTAAAATAGTTTTTCTCACACACCACTCGTAGCCATGCCAAGCCGACCGCCGCAGCCTGACTGTAATTTACCAGGAATTTGTAGTTTGTAATGTACCAGGAAATTGTATAACGAACACAGAGAACTCAACAATATTTTACTTCAAGTCTGTAAGCACATGGCAAGAAGAACCTACTGTGCATGTATGAAGCGCATAAGGATTCATGGGATATGACAAATGGCCCCTCTTAAAGCAAAGGAAAGAAAAACTAAAACCTGATAATAATACAAAGTAACGTACTGATAGGGGCAAGTCTCAAAGTCACGAACACTTAAGTTTACTAAGGACTAGTAGAACCACTAAGGCGGTTTACGCTCTCAGAGAGGGTATCTCCTTTCTGGTTGCTCAGGCGCTGATGCTTGAAGTCCTGAATCTTACACAGAAGAGTCCTGAGGTGAAGAAAAAGCATCAGCCATGCTATCCAAGGCTGGAGTGTCAAGTACAGGTGTAGCCTCTTTAGGCTGTGAAAGGGTTGGTGTTGTAACAGGCCTTTCCCTCACTACTGGGGTCAACCCTTCAGTTTGCTCAGGTAGCTGCAGCGCACGAACTCTGACCCTAGTGTGGAAGGTATGAATCGTGGATGTAATTGTTCTTGATGTCGTTTCCAGATAATAGGGACCTTAAGCAGCTTCGTCGAGGACGAAAACGAGAACGAAATTATGACGTGGCATGCTCTAGGACACTGGGATGAGAACATCGTTTTCGGCGCGAAAATTGAAAGTTAAGCACCCGCGTCTTGTACAAAGATGAAGACGTCAACAAGTGAGGCTCAACAAGTGGTGGTTTTAGTTATGTCGTCGTTTAAAGACATCAGGGATTTTGTTTTTGTTGGATATGCCCGCGACATGTTTGATGACGAAGAATTCTGCCTTCTCTATGACTTTTATCAGTCGAAGAATCCGGATTTTCCTTACAACTCGTACGCATCGTTCGATTTGGGGGAAATGGATCCTGCTGAGTGTTATACCGAGTTTCGAGTCGAGAAAT